GATTTCAACCACAGCTTTTTCAGCAACTTCAGTGAGAGCAAAATTGAGATCCTTGGAAGACTACCTCCTCAGTGCACCAAGAAATGTTTTGCTTCAATTTTTTAGGGGGAAAAGCCAGCTCCATTATAGAGCTGAAAATATGATTCAGTTCATTAAGAAAAACAGACTAACCACGATACTGATCAAGTTCAGACATACTTCCTCCTCCTCCCCAGAAAAAGCTAATTTCTTTATCTGGAATCTGCTAGACTACATTTAAATTATAGAGGAACCACTGAGCAAAATAATTTATTTTGTCCAGAATACGATTTTCTGACCTTGAACACCAATGGGTTCTTGCATAAAACTAAAATCACATATTTTTCCCCACTTACTTTCCCAAGATTATGGAAAAAAAAAATCCTTTATAATAGCAACTTCTGTTGAGATCCATGAATGACTACATGCAGAAAGTGGCAAAATTTCCTTGGAGATTTTGCTAAAAGATTCCTAAACCTTCAAAATACTCCTTAGAGAGGGTAAGATTATTCAGATAACTTTGGTATGATATTCATAATTATTTATGTTTTTTTTTTAAATCAAACCCAAGATTCACATCATCTTTTAAAGTACACTGAAATTTTAAATGATGGGGAAGTTTCGATTTTTAGTGAGGTATGTATTTCTGGGTGAGCAAAAACATCAACACAGCCTTTGTAATAGAGAACAACTCAAATAAGATAAAACATCAAGAAGTAAATGGCAATCTTCTCTACTTATTACATTACTTGACCATTTGCTTGTGGATTTACTTTCAGGTGATAATACAAACATGCTTGATATAAATAATAAAATGGTTTAACATAATCACTTTTTTTTTTTTCTACCTCTCCCTCAGTTAACTCATGTCCATATAACCAAAGGACTAACCTAAGGAAATGGTTGTCTCAGTTTTTTTCAAAATGGCCATTGATTTTGGGTGCCCTACAACTAAAGGTAAAATGGAAGCACTCAGCATCTCCACACAGGCCCTAGTGAACATAATTTCTCATGATGTAGCATCTTCTCAAGTAACTTATTTCAAATAAAACGTAGTAAAAATAACAGTTCTGACCTCTGATCAAAGTTAAACACTGATTTTGGTTTATGATAATAGTTCTACAAGGTGCAGGTTAACAGGGAAGACCCACAGCATTTACGTTTGATATACACCTCTGAGAGCTCTCAAATTCTGTGAATCAGTCTCCTGCTTCTTAACAAGTTTGCCACACTGTGACAGCTCGATTAAATGATATGTTCTGCTACCTTGCCTTTCTTCCACTACTATTAGCCCAATGATACCTATATAAATGTTTATAATAGAATAGCTTTTTTCCATTATATGAACTGAAACAATTATACAAGTATAAAGCACAAAGAGGGTTTATAATGGTAACGACAGAAAACAAACAAAAGTAAAAAAAAAAAAAAAAAAGAAACAGGTGTACTGGTAAGATATTTTGAAAAGTAGATTGGTCCTTATCAGCAAATAACAGGATTAGACTCTCTTTTCTAGCTGTAGTCAATAGATGACACTGTTCTTTATCTAACCTAAGTAGAGGAAAAACTTCACAGGAGTAAAGCAATTAATAGCTGACTTCAAATATGAGTAAACTGTATTAGCAAAATTCAGAGTAATTCAATTTTACATTTAATCCAGGCTAATTAATCCGACTCTCATTACCATTAGCAAACTACTGTGTAAAGCTTTTGTTTACACAAAGAAAAGTTAGCTCCTTTAGACTACGAAGGAAAATCATCCATCATAAGAAAAGGGACTGCAGACTTAATAAAGCCTATTCTGTTAAGATAACATTGAAGTGTGCTTGCTGCAACATGTATATCTCCTTCTAGGAGAAAAGCTTCCCACATTGCAGAGCTGAGTTTCCACCCTTGTGAGCAGACTGATAGTTAATCTGATTCATTTTGTCCTATTCTGGGCTTCATATCTGTTTTCATCCTTATGCTTCAGCACTGCTGGAATGAGAACAGCTGTGAATGGGCACGTTACTATCAGCACGTCCTTTGGAAGATCTGTACATGGGGTCTGATAGCAGTCTAAATAAGTCTGTTCCTATTCTGAAGAAAGGAAAAATGACAATTTCATAAATCTTCTGTCAGTATTTAGCATCTTATTTTCAGCAACATTTTCCATCATCTGCCTCTGAATTCCATCTTCTTCATTCCACAAAAATTTATTCACAAAGGAATGCAAGCTGTAGCTTAAATTATGATAGGTAATTGCATATTTATTTTTTTGCAATATACGACTTTAGATTTTATGCAGACGTTAAATTGTATCAACACCTCTGGAATCACATCATGTGCAGTAAAAACAAAATAGTAACTTCTCCTCTGTTCTCTTCCTGTTCCAGGCTCTAGCTTGCTATACTCCAGAAAAGGTTAAAGTTCAGAAGGAGAAGGCAAATATGATTTAAAGCTGCCTTTATTTCCCTCCAGGCTTAGACACACAAGCAGAAGTCATCTTTGTTTTGAACTACATTTCCAAGTTACCTCCGGGCTACTTTGCACCTTAAGAAAGAACTGAGCCAAGAACTATTTACCCTCTGGTCCCACATCCAACATAAGAATTCCTATAAAGCTGTAGCAGGCGATCAGTGCACTAGGTCTATGCATATCAAATCCTGAAAAAATGGGAATTGCTATAAATAACATTTGAACAACTTATGTCTTCTGTACATAACATAAACGCAAAGGAATAGGTAAATTGGAATCTATCATTTTATTTTGACCCTTGCTAAGCAATTTTCTGACAAAAGTTTCCATCCAAAAATTCAATTCCTATCTAGAAAGAGAATGGGGAATATGAACTGCAGGATCACAAAGAAAAAGTCTCAGTTAAAAATAAGCTGAAACAAAATTACAAACAAAAGTTGTAGTTTTCATGGGTTGTAACTGACAGAGACACCAGTGTGTTTATTTAGGATGCACTCTAGTGGACACACATAAAACAAAAATCAAAGAAAGATACAAATGTTATGAAATAAGATAGAAAATCAAAGCTGCATGTTGGAAGTAGTAATTAGAATTATTTACTAGCACGTTTTAAAATACTGTCTTATAACTTGAACATATTTTCTAATTAAATATGAAAGCTGTATGAATGCTGAAATTTTCATAGTCAACATGACTGGATATAAAATGTAAATGAATACAAGTTACTTATTAATTTTTGAAAATTTTAATCTGAATAAGATTCTGGAGTTTCAGGATTCAGTAATTCTAAATAACAAGATTCAGGATTCCAGAAGATAACTGGAATATCAACCATAAGGGCATAGTCATTCCACAGAAAAGGTTCTTGACTGTCATAGAAATTGCAAACCTACACTGATGCAGAATAAATGTAGATAGCAAAGCCTGACCACCTTAGTCACAGAAGTAGTTCCATTTTTTCATTACTTAAAAAGTTACACAAAGATTTCTAACTGTTTATATCTGGAAAGTGACATCTTTCTCTTCTGATTTTAAAGATGTTCATGTAAGACATGCCAATTAACACCATCCAAAAACCAATATGGCAATGAAGAGGGCAACAGGATTTTATTAATAAACATACTTTATTATTTTGAAGGGAAAAATAATATGTTACTATACTAGAAATCAAAAGTGCTTACCTTTTTAAAAATTAATAGGATTATGCCTAGTATGAGCAACATGAACAGAACATGTTATTTAGAGCAGAAAAATATTTATTCCATGATTGACCTTTGCTTATTGGGTATACAGATATTTTTAACGGTTTGCCAAGGATAGCAAAACCCTTAAAGCTAGCTATAATATAAACAAATTCAAGTGAAATTATCCCAAAAGTCTCTTTCATCCAAAAACTGAAGAATGCAGTGAATGCACTAACTATGCCCTGAATTTGTAATGAAGAGTATTTTCATTATATGATATTTGGCAATGACTTAATGTTAATTGTCCAACTAACCTGTATTATTAGAAGACACTGAGATGCAAATGCACATTTTAGCCAAGAAGCGTAGGATTTCTTAATGCTGGTGTCTTTTCCATTTATAATGAACAGACATGGAACATTCTTGACAACCTGTACCAAGATATCAGTGATTACAGAAATTTGTTCTTATAAAAATTAATGCAATCTTTAAGGATTATAAAACTTATTTTCATAGATAAATATTAAGCTAAATATTCTTCAAGTTTTTTTAGAAGTGAAGCTTTGAGAACTAATAATGGTATTCAGTAAAGACCACACAGATGTAACTTATTGGTTTGCAAATTCAAGACAAATGAAGGAAAGATTATTTCAAGACTTGACTAATCAAAACTGATTTGCTGACACTTGCAGCTCACCTAATAGGAGGTTATTATAAAGCCTAGGGCAAACACCTAGTGTTACAAAAAGCACCCCATGATTTTTAACACAGACGAGATCTTTTAGTGCATCTGTCTACTGAGACACATAACAGTTTAATTCTTCGCTTTCAGATAAATTGGAAAATCTTCTGATTTGATTTTTCCATCTAGTTTGATGTGCAAAATTCTCTCTCCATCTTCTAATCTATAGAGCATTCCCTCTTTCTATCAGAAACCATTCAATTTCTTGGAAAATCCTTTTTCAATAATCTTTTATTCTTTTAATATTGATTCAAATCATCATATTGTAGCCTCTACTCCAAAATAATCTTGACACATTTATTATACCTATAATTATTACGTTGTTACACTTCAAGAATCAATGAGCAATAAGTAGAAAATAAATTTACTGCTTTAATTTCAATTGCAGTTTTCTTCCCGAGTCAGCCATGCTAGCTGCAATGGTTTAAGAACAAAAAGGAAGCATCACATGCCAGAATTAGCAGACTTTATACAAACACCCAGAAAGCACAGAAGATGAAACAACAGGTAAGTAAATCAGTTCTATGTATAAAATACATAAATGAAGACATTACACTTCAGGATCAGCAAGTAATTAGTAGAAAACATATTTACTGCTTTCAGATTGGTTGGGAACTTTCTTGTTCTGATTCTGCCGTGACATCTGTTATATTCTAAAAACAAAGAAGAAATTCTATCGGTTGCCAGCATTAACTGAATTTTGTAAAAAGAAGAGGAAAAAAGAAAAAGAAAAAAACATGACAGATAGTTGGTATTCATCAATATAATTATGTATTCTTCTATTTAGTGAAATGCGATGAAGTTTATCACCAGGCTTTTATTACAAAATCCAGGAACTCTGCATGAAGCATTATGATTCTGAGAACAGTTTCAATAGTACAAGTCTATATATTTTAATGTTATTGATCTTTCCTTAACTTGTAGTTCAATTCAACAAACATATTACTATAAAACCTGAAATAACATCACCAAAGGCCAATGAAATCCAACTTTAAATTACTTTTGCAGTGAAAACTTGGAAGATGGCTCATATAAGGAGAAGCAAGTAAGTTTACTACTCATTTTCACTTCTGGTTTTGCAATTAACTTATTTAAGAACACATAAAATATCCCTGAAGCCTCAAGAATACTTTTTAATATGTAATTATCAGAAAACCATAAAAATTGGGGCTATACGAGACCTTGAAAACCCATCTGATTTACCTTAGTGAAAAAAACACCTGTGAAAACCTGACCCTAGGAACAGTCATAAGTATGTTCATAAATATATTTAGAGAACACTTATAAAACAGGCTGTTATTAAAGTAACCTTAAGCATAAAGCATATTCATACCAGAATAGAAATTCTGAGCTAGAATTACACTACTGAGACCAGAAATTAAGAGAGCAAATCATTAAGGCTAATAAAGGAAAAGGGGTTCTGATAAAAACATACTAAAATTAGTATATCAAAATCTCAAGTCATACCACTTAGGATACTCTAACTGGAAAGTCAGACAAGTATCAGTACCTTTACGACCAGTGAATATTCCTAATGATGAGTGATTTTGCAGGAGTTGGCAGTATCTGTTAAATGTACTGCCATGCCTTACAATAAATGAAGGCTGATTCATGGTCTCTTGTTTCCCTGGACTCTCAAGTATAAGAGGAATGGGGAAGAAGAAGAAGGAAAGAAAAAAAAAAAAAAGAAGCTGGGCATAGATGTCTGAGGATCACAATACAGAGCCATAGGTGTAGTACTGAAAGCAGTATATTCATGTCAGCCCAGAGCTCAGATAACCTGATTCTCAGCAAGTCCTAGCCTTACTGAGCACTGTGCGCCCTTAGTATCTGTTCTTTTGTATTAAATGCTTGCTCAGCTATCTCTGCACAAGAGTCTTCTGCTGCACAAAAAACATACTTCACACCAACCAGAAAAAAATATAAATAACTTCAATCACTCAAAAACACGTCATCTTTTTGTGATTTAGTACATGTTGTATATGACTATCTGTTCACATGGCAAAGGAAGGCTGCCTCCTCTCTGAGAATATCCATAATAATAATAAAAAAGGGCACTTTAAATCTGAAGGAAGGCTGCCTCCTCTCTGAGAATATCCATACTTTCATTTCTAACATAAAATAATAATAATAAAAAAGGGCACTTTAAATCTTGAGGATCTGGTCAGCCAACACCACACAGTCTTTTAGAATGGCTCAACTCGTACCAGAGAACAGGCTAAGGACAGTCTGGAGGTTGTGGCCAAAATACCATCCTTTAAAACCATAGGACAAAACCAGCAGAATCTTAACTGCAACAATTTTAACCTTTATTAAGTCAGCACAGAGAAGCAAATCTGTAAGAATCAATCATTTATAATCTCCCTGTTCTTTCTAAACACTTACCTCAACCTGTCCGCTCTCATCTAGCTCCTCAACTCTGGTCAAATTAGGTGCTCCAGGTCTATCTGTAAGTTCAGCTATCGTCTTTTCATTTTCCTATGGTAATGAAAACCAGTTTTCAGTTAAAAGCATTCCATGTCATGAATGATTACCTATAGAGAATATTTCAGATGTGTTAAAATGACATTACGTATTAATGTAAAGATAATACTTTAGATGTATGCTATATAAACATGCTTGTATGTGAATATGGTCTTTCCATGCTTGTTGAGACTATTTTTTATGAGTTTTTTTTTTAATAACAGGAATTTTGATTTAAATTTCTAAATATTCATTTTTCCTGTCACTTTCATATTGTCATCTTTCTACAATTTTGTTCTGTCAGTATTTTAACAGTGTTCTAAAAGTGTACATATCTGTAAAATATGACATGCTCCACATAAATTTAAGAGATACTCACATTTTAAAGCTTTACTGAGATAAACACACCAATTATGAGTGTATGTTTTTACTGAAATAGCATTAAAAGACCATAAATTTAGAGAGAGATCTGTATACGCATTCTTCTGGTAGTACAAATTCCTGTGCACCAGGAGGATTTCAGAATCGAGAGGCATCCCAATTTCAAACCATAGTTCTTTTCCAGGCACAGCAAATGGACTTTGCACTGACACACAGTAAAACATTACTGTCTAGACACTTAAACTAGACATGCTTAAGTTATAACACTTTCTCATATATACCGTCAAGGAACGTGAAAGCATCAAGCTGACCTTTAGCTAAATTTTGCAATACATTTATGCTCTGTTCTGAATATAAACTAAATAAACCTAATAGAACAGAGCAAAATCCAAGTATAAAACCCAGACTGAATCAAGGTGTTAGACATTCTTCCCCCATTTTCACAATTTTTTTTTAAAATTATGTGTTAGTTTAACACCCAGGGGCTGCTGCCTTGTGTTTTGTATTTAGTGCCCGTATCTGGAAAAGACAGCTGATTAACAGTATTTTCAAACCACCGACTAAGGTTTGGCTTAAACCTCTTGATCTTTCTGTTCCAACGGCATTACATCTTCTTCATTCTGCAGTTCCGACTCCTCATGTTCTCGTTCCAACTGCAGCCAGTTTAAGAAAGGACAAATTAGATGGAAAAAAAAAAAAACCAACATATTCATCTTCCCCACCCCATTGCTTACAATTTATTTCATGACTGAAATCCAGTCAGACAATGTCATCATTACCACAGCAACAGAAGCTGTTACACATGTGGTCAAATTCACATGACTCCTTTATAAAGGATAGCTAGAAACACAGATGTTGTCTTTATTTCTCATATTTCAAGTCCACATAGTATAGGATTCAAATTGCTTTATGCCAACAGAATGCTCAGGTAGCTAAGGAAAGAAAAAGGTACCTCACTGGATCATGCTATAAATACTGCTTAAATATGCGATCTTCATTCTCTGATTCCCAACCATTTTCAGGACTCTATAACTGTGTATACAGTCTCATTGCCTTTTTTTGTCTTACTGATATTACATTAAAGTAGCCTGAGACAATGATCAGTTATTACTCCCAGGTCTCCTAGCAGGCCTGTCAACAATTTTTGCAGTGATTTCTAGCTTTATTTGCACCAGCTCTTGTTCATAACTAACTACAGAAGACAGTCTACTTATTTTAAGTTACTTTTCACGCAAGTCTTAAATTGTATGTTTTTTACCTTTGGCTCCTTCATTTTTTTTATAAGATTTTACTGCGTATTATGTCAGCTTTCCTTTCCATCTGCTGACCAATCTTTTCAGGTATTATTTAGAAAAGTGAGATTAAAATACTTGTCTAATGCTACTTTCTATCTAAATCTTTAGATTAGACAGAGATTAGAAATATACAGAGCACTAAAAGATGCCACAGCATCGTACAGTACTTCTAATTATTTATTATTAAGTATTATTAACCTGACGCTGTTCTTCAAGTTTCTGCTGGATCATTAGCTCTTCTTCCTTCATTTTTCTTAACATTTCAAGTTCTACCAGGGCTGCCTCCCGTTCTTGTTCCAGCTCAATCCTCTCCAACATTCTCTATTTCAGAGATAACACAGAATCAATTAAAAAAATAAAGAGAGATTAAATAGCATGTATTTTCATGAATATTTTTTCCCTAAGATGGACTCACCTTTTTTTCTTCATCTAAGATTCTTCTGTAATTGTAAATCCAATGTGCCAGATACTCTATTGGATCTGCAGGCCGATGCTCTACAACCTCTGCCAGTCCCTTTTTCAAGCAACTTCCCAGACATCTCTTCAGATACTGAGACTCCATTCACATCTACTAACAACAAACAGACAGACATTAGCCATCAACATCAGAATTAAATTAGGGGCTTTAAGAATTATTGCCTCAGGCACCAAATACTGAATATGACATTACTCTTTTTATTAACCTAGCAATTAATAGAAAAAAGTTATTTAAATTTAACATCAGTTTAGTTCTTAAAAGCTCCAGTGACAGACCAGTATACCAAGCACTGTAGAAAATATGCTCCACCCTCCCCCCCACCCCTTACTGTTTAGGTGCATAGAGCTGAGAAACTGCTTGGAAAGACACCAGTAATTCTAAGTCAGCATGACAGCAAAAAAACTCAGAACCATAACGGGCCATAGAAAACTTCTGAAAATATATGCAAAGAACAGCAAAATAGTTCTGTGAATGATTAAGGATATATTTTAGTTGGAAGTAACAAAGCTCTCATTAGGATACATATGCAAGACCAGGGCCTGAAGAAATCACTGCACAGTTATGATGGGAACAAATCATAGAATCATAGAATCATAGAATGTTTAGGGTTGGAAGGGACCACTAGTGGTCATCTAGTCCAACCCCCCTGCAGTGAGCAGGGACACTGCTGACTAGATCAGATTGCTCAGAGCCCCATCCAACCTGGCCTTGAATGTTTCCAGGGATGGGGCCTCCACTACCTCTCTGGGCAACCTGTTCCAGTGTTTTACCACCCTCATTGTAAAAAATTTCTTCCTTACCTCTAGCCTGAACCTACCCTGTTCTAGTTTAAAACCATTTCCCCTTGTCCTAACACAGCTGGCCCTACTAAAAAGACGTTCCCCATCTTTCCTATAGGCCCCCTTTAGGTACTGGAAGGCCGCAATCAGGTCTCCCCGTAGCCTCCTTTTCTCCAGACTGAACAAGCCCAACTCTCTCAGCCTGTCCTCATAGGAGAGGTGCTCCAGCCCTCGGATCATTTTTGTAGCCCTCCTCTGGACCCGTTCCAACACTTCCATGTCCTTCTTGTGCTGAGGGCTCCAGAGCTGGACGCAGTACTCCAGGCACACACGAGATTTCACTAGCCCTGGGCCAGCAAGCACATAACACATCTGAAAACCCCATTTCTGCGATGCTGGAACACCCTTCGTTTGCTGTCAGCAGGTCCGGCCCAGCGGCGGCAGCAGACCCCTCGCTAGGGCCAGCGTCTGCCGAGCAGCGGATCCCCTCAACACGCCGGCAGCTCTGCGGCGAACCGGGGCCCTTCACACGGCCCTGCGTGAAACGGCGCGGGCGTGGAGCGGAGCC